CACTCTTGGTGCAGCACCTGCGGCAACGGGACCTTCACCTGCCCGGTGACGGCCTGTCCCACCTATGGGCCCTGGTCGCCATGGGGGCCCTGCTCCCGCAGCTGTGGCGGTGGCAACACCACCCGGCACCGCAGCTGCCAGGGGAGCACCGACGGGGGGCCCTGTGGTGCTGGTGTCATGGAGGAGATGGCTGAGTGCAACCTACAGCCCTGCCCCCGTGAGTGACACTGCGGTGGGATGGTGGGAAGGTGGATGGTTGATGGTGAATGGTGGATGGATGATGGTGGATGGTGGGAAGGTGGATGGTTGATGGTGGATAGTGGATCACTGATGGTGGATGGTGGGTGGTGGATGCTTGATAGTGGGATTGGTGGGTGGTGGTTGGTTGATGGTTGATGGTGGGATGGGTGGACGGTGGATGGTAGATAGCAAGATGGCAGGATGGTGTTGAGGCCACTCCCCCACAGGCAGCTGCCAACTGGGCCCCTGGTCCCCGTGGAGCCCCTGCAGTGCCAGCTGTGGTGGGGGCAGCTCGGAGCGGCGCCGGGAGCTGCTGCCAGGGCCGGAGGGCTGGGGGAAGTCGTGTCCCCTCCTGCCACTGCTGCTGCTTCGTGTCTGCAATGCCCACAACTGTTCTCCGGGTACGGGGGGGCCCAGCTGACCTAGGGGTGCAGGGTTGGTGGTCTTTGTGGTCCCAGGGAGCTGCGGCTTTGCCAGCTGAGGCGCAGGCTGGCGTCAGGCGCCTGGCCGGGGTTGGGAGGGGGGGGTCCATGCCACAGACACCCCCTCCTTGTCCCGCAGACTGCCCCAATGGGCAAGTGTATGGAGGCTGCGCCAACGCCTGTCCCCGCACCTGCACCCACCTCAGCCCGGTAACGCGGTGCGTGCTGGAGCCCTGCCAGCCTGGCTGCACCTGTCCCTCTGGCCAGGTATGGCTGTGCCCCCCCATAAGCCCTACCCACAACCCCTGGGGTCCCCTGGCACCCCCCACCACGGGGTCCCTGCTGGTCAGGGCCAGGTGGGCCAGGGCTGTTGGGGGGGTGTCCCTGGTCACTGCCAGGTGCCCCCCCAGGTACTGCAGGATGGGGCCTGCGTCCCCCCCGAGCTGTGCCGCTGTCAGCTGCCCCCCACCCTGCCTGGGGCTCACAATCTCTCAAGGGGGCAGCAGGAGCAGGAGCATGCCCCAGGCAGCCGCCTCCAGCACCGCTGCAACACCTGGTGGGTTCCGCGACCCCCAGTGTCACACCATGGTTGCCCCAGCGTGTGTCACCCCTGGCTGAGCCAGGTGGGCACTGATTCCACCCTTAACTCCTCTCTCCACAGCATCTGCATCCGTGGCACCTTCAACTGCTCCCAGGAGGACTGTGATGGTGAGACCCCACTGTCCCCACCCCAGCCCTGTCCCCATGCCAGGGTCCCCATGCCACAGCCACCAATCTTGCCTTGCCCCCCGCCCCACAGCAGACTGCCTGTGGTCCCCGTGGTCGCCCTGGTCCCCCTGCTCGGTGACATGTGGGACGGGCGAGCGTCTCTCCCACCGGCACCCGCTCCAGCAGCACCGCTACGAGGGAGCAGAGTGCCAAGGCCCCCCCACCCGCCGGATCCCCTGCAGCCTCCCCAACTGCTGTGAGTCCCCCGCAGCCCCTTGAGCCTGAGAGATGGCAAGGGAGGGCACAAAGCTGTCACCCTCAGCATGCCAGCCCCGGGCCGAGGCAGCGCCCTGCTTCCTGGGCCGCAGTGCCGGTGCTGGTGCCAGTGCCAGGCCCTGTGCCACACGCAGCCTGTCCTGCGGGCGAGCACTGGCGGGGCCCTGATGCACCGGCTGGCTGTGAGTGGAGCTGCCAGGACATCTCTGGTAACACACTGGGCAACTGCAGTGAGCCCCTGGCCCTTGGCTGCACCTGCCAGCCCGGCCACTACCGCAACAGCACTGGCCACTGCGTGCCGGCCGCCCTCTGCGAGTGCCAGTACCGGGGGCAGCTGCTCCAGGTGAGTGGGGCTGAGGGCCATCGTGCTGGGGGGGTGCTCCTGTTGCACTCCCTGGCTGGGCTGAGCTCTGTGTGTCCCCCCTGGGCCAGGCTGGCAGCGAGTGGCAGGAGGAGTGTGAGATGTGCCGCTGTGTCAACGGGCAGGCTGCCTGTGCCACCGGCTGCCCCCCACTCACCTGCCCTGAGGTGCGGAGTGTGGGTGGGGAGGGGGCACACAAGGGAAGGGGCACATGTGGGGATGGGACACTTGTGGGTAGGCTGCATTCATGGGCAGGTGGTGCCCATGGGGAGGGGGCACTGGTGGGCTGGGGGCACTTGTGGGGAGGATGCTCACGTGGAGAGGGGGTGCCTGTGGGGTGGGGGCCTACATGGGCGAGGGTCTGAGGCTGCTATCTTGCAGGGCGCAGTGAAGGTGAGGGAGCCGGGCAGCTGCTGCCCCGTGTGCCGGGAGGAGTGGCCAGGTAAGGTCCCCGTGCCCCACAGCACGGCCAGGCACCCACTGGGACCCCGTGGCCTGGCCCCCTGTGCTGCCGGGGTGGAGCTGTCAGGGTGGGGTGGCACCATCGTGGTGTCCCCTCCCCACAGAGGAGCCGCCCTCCACATGCCGACGCATCACTGAGCTGCGCACCATCGCCAAGGGGCCCTGTGCCCTGCCCGACGTCGAGGTCAGCTACTGCACCGGGCGCTGCCACTCCCGCACCACCGTCACCGCTGAGGTCAGTCAGCACCGGCCGGTCTCTGCCGCAGGGCTGGTGGGCAACAGGAGCTGGGGATGGGTGGGTGTCTCCCCGATTTTGCCCTCTCCTGGTACCCACGCATCCCTCGGGCAGGAGCCGTTCCTGCAGAGCATGTGTGAGTGCTGCAGCTACCGCCTGGACCCCGCCAGCCCCGTGCGCGTCCTGCACCTACCCTGTCCCACCGGCCCGGCCCAGACTGCGGTGCTGCCCGTCATCCAGAGCTGCCAGTGCAGCCGCTGCCAGGGTGAGCAGGGGGGGACCCAGGGGGAGGCCAATTCTCCCATGGTGCAACATCTTGACCCCATGGTGTTGCCAGTCTGGCAGCTGCAATGCGAGTGTCTGGGGGGTCAGGAGGGGAGAACCCCCCCCACCCTGGGTGCAGCATCTTGACCCCATGGTGCTGCTGGTGTGGCAGCTGCCACAGGAGTGGGTGGGAGTTGATCAGGGTGAGGGCAAACCCAACCCCCCACCCCCAGGTGAAGCCTTGGCCACGTGGTGTTGCCAATGTGGCATCTGTCAGAGGGAGCAGTTGATGGAGGGGTCATGGTGGGGCAGACCCCCGGGGTGCAGCATCCTGAGCCCTCCTGACCCCCTCTCCTGCAGGTGGGGATTTCTCTCGGCATTGAGGAGGTCCCCCAACCCCCACCTTCCCCGGGAAGTGGTGGCCCCCCTGGGAAGCTCCACTGCTCTGGGCTGTGCCATTGTCTGCAATAAATGTGTGGGAGCAGCCCCCACATCTGGGACTAGATGGAAGGGGCAGGGGGGAACTGGGAGGGACTGGGGGGGGGTTGTGTGGGGGACTGGAAAGGGCTCAGATAGCACTGGGGGGACTTGGGAAGGACTCAGGAAGGACCAAGAGGAACAGGGAATAACCGAGAGGGACCAGGAAGGGTTCAGAAGGTACAGGGGGAAGATGTGGAAGAGCTTGGGTGGGACAAGGAAGGGCTTGAAGGGGACTGGGAGGGACTGGGAAGGATTGAGGGGAGACCTGGGAGAGCTTGAGATGAACTAGGAGGGACTGGGGAGAAACTGAGGGGGGACATCGGGAGGGATGGGGAAGAGCTTGGGGGAGACCTGGG